CTTTCGAAAAGGTTAAAGAAAAACTTTTGAACTGTTTTTGAGAAAACAGCGTTTGAGAATTTCTGAAAATGTGGAATTTTGAGCTCATATTCACAGAAAATTGTTGAGTTCTTGAGAAACTTAATGACATATTTAAAGTACATGTTCTCATAAATATAATAATGTGAACAACTTGCCGCTAATATAAATATTAACAATGTTAAAAAAATGTGTCAAAAATGATGTTTTTGTAATCTTAAAAAAGAAATAATAGAGCAATATGGCTTTTATGTCATTTTAGTGTGCATTTAGCTTTCTCTCTTCCAAAGGTTAAAAAAATAAATTATAGCCGTTTTTAAAAAATCTTGTTTTCGTAATTTTTAAAATTGCAAATATTACACGCAATGTTTTGTAAAAACTACTAAGAGTTTCTAAAAAAAAAAAAAACTTAATGTACTATGAACTCGCTATGAAAAACATTTGATATGAAGGTGTTTATATCACCCATCTTGATCAGGTTTTTGTCCAGTTTCCTTGATCTATTGAGCAAATGCTGAGATGGTCCCTTGTTTAGCTTCTGGATGTAAATGTAGCTTCACTATACACACGTTTTGTTGAACTCTCCTTTTGCTTGTAATGGTAAGAGTAGAGGTCAGGGAGAGTTGCTATTTTGTTAGCAATGCATTCTTACAATTCGTGTACAGATTCAAATAAGTTTTCTATAACTCAGAAACTGAAATGATAATTTTTCAAATATTGATTATCTTGCAATTTTTAAAATTTATTTTTATTTGTGTTAAACTTTTAGTCATCTTTAAACTATTTATAGTTCAAATGACAGGAAGGGATTCTGGAACTCAAGAAAACGTGTGCAGATAATCTTTTCCCCCTACATCACATACAGTTTTTACTGGTTTTTTTGACAAAATAAATGTAATCTAATCTAAAGGAAAAATCTCTGTCTTTAATTTTATACTTGTAGAAAGACATGGAAAAATATTCAAACTTTTGCAATTTTTGTAAATTTAGAGTTAACCGTGAAAATCGGACCTTTATAAGTGTATGTTACCCTTTTCTTACAAGAAATTGTAAGAAAAATTTTGGAAACTGTTTATGAGAAAATTATTAAAATGTCCGGAAGGCTTCATCTAAAGTACCCCCAAATTTTCAAGAAAGTTTTTCAAAATCGTGATGCCTTGAGTGGAGCGAGATCGACTGGGGAATATCCATTTTGCAAAAATCGTACGTATGGTTTATACGCTAGTGTTCAGACTGTCGGATGGACGCATGCATATACACATGTTTTGAAAAAAACCCACACTTTTTCAGTATCAGAGGACCTCAAAAGTGTATTTCCGTTGAAATCGCAGCATTACATAACTTTCCCTATACCAACTATATTACTTTTGTATATTAGTACGTATACAGTTAAGTAAAAAATAAACACTTTCTACATAATAATAATTTTCTCTGCTTGTTAACTCAAAACGGGCTTATGGACAGCGTGCGTGCATCAAGTATGGGCACAGCATGCTGCTGTTTTACGCCCTCATGGAAAAAATCTGTCTTTTTTGTTTAATTTAATTTATAAAACCAATATGAATTGCTTACTTTTATTGATTTAGAAACAGGGCAACCGAAGCAAGAAAAAATCGCTCTTCTGGAAAATGCTGTTTTTAATCTTGTATCAACTATCGCAAAATGCCACAGAATGTATCCTGTAATTAATATTTCTTAGTCGCAAAACCTTCAGCCTAAAAGTAGGCCCTCTTGTACCCGGACCCAAACGTAATGCCACTGAAATGATTATGCTATTGGTAGTTACTACTCAAAATTTGAAGGGAAATAAAACATTGATAGTACAAAGTAGTCCACAGAACGTTGGCATGTTGAAACACTAAATAACACTGTGATTCATGATAAATGAGGCTAGACCCTCTCTTCGCAGTTTAGATTTCAGTATTCACATTTCAAAAGAACTGAGGAAAATAAATCACGTATTACAAGAAGAGTTCACCTCAAGCTGATCTACCCGAAATGTTCATGTTACCTTCAGTTCAGACAGACACTGCCCACCGCCAAATAAGACGCAGTTGCCACACTTTCTTGTTTATTCGCTTTGGTAATAAAGTACACAATCGCAAGTCTGGGCTTCCACTCTGGTACCTGGTTGAAAATATGTGCATAACACGTTCTTGCCGGTTCATGAACCGTTGGTCTGGCGCAATAGTTGCAGTTTGCAAGTTTGCCTGAGTTGAATTATGTTTCGTCTTTAGGGTTATGAGGTAAAAATATGAAAATTTATAGAAATTAAGTGAATTTAGTTTTATGAATAAAGTTTTCAAACTTGTGTTTAATTTATAAATAAAAGCCCAACAAAGTAAACAATTAGATCCAAACCAGAAAACCAACAATTGGTTCCATGTAAAAAAACAGAATTTCTTAAACACCCTCTGCAAAACTATTGCAAGCCAATCAATTTCTTTATCATTTGTGCTGCTATGTCATCTATCGAATTCCAAAAATTGTGGTAGAGGATACTGAATCATCTTCAAGAGGGCATTTCAGTTCGCATGCTTTGGTACATCTTGAAACTACAGTCATGCTCCCATCATCCCCTTGTTAGTCTTCAGGAGTTGAAACTGCAGTTCCGTGACTTGGATCGTGACATTCCAGGCACCTCTGAAACACATTTGTCTTTCTTACTTACGTACGTATATATGGAGTAATGTACTTAGTATAGAGAAAGTTACGAAATGCTGCGGAAAATTTATTTTGAGATTTCAAAGGAAATATAAGATTTGGGGTCCCGAGCTACAAAGAAAGTTTATTTTTCCAAAATGTCTGTCAGTCAGTCAGGTAATCTGTCAGTTGTGAACAACACTAGCGCCTAACCTGCAGGTAGTTTTTTTCAAACTGAATAAACCCCCTGTTGATCTGGACTCAGTTGAAGCTCTGCGATTTAAAAAACCTTTCATTAATTTTCTTTATATGAATACAATTACTTTATATGAAGGCCTTGGGACATTTCCAAAATGTTCTCAAAAATAACTCTGATTGTTTTCTTTAAATGTATTATATGAATTGATTAAAATAGGGGTAGCATAGGTGCAATTTTCACTGCTAACTCTGAATTTTCTCTGAAATTACGAAACTTTTAATTTTTTTTTTATATCTCGTGCTCAACTACTAAATTGAAGATTTTTTCCTTTGAGTAAAATTTGTTCTCCATTATTAGTTCTCCATTAAGTTTGTCATGAGAACATTTCTTGAAAATTTTAGTAGTTTTCAAGCAATATTGCGTTTAGTATGTACAATATAAAAAACAAACAAAAAATAAAAAGACCCAAGAACAAGAATTTCTCAACTGTTCCAATTTTTTCTTTAAACTTTTTGTTAGGATAGTGCTAAATGTACTCTATGAGATTTCTTGAAAACTCAACAGTTTTCTGTGCCTCAAATGCCATTTCTCAAATGCCACGTTCTCAAAAAGGTTCTAAAGTTTTCTTTGAATATTTTGTGTGAAGAGTGCCATATGCACTGTATATGATGACATAAAATCCATTTTGCTGTATTTTGTTTGATCAAAAATTGCACCATTTAATTTTCTGTGCCGTTAATATGCACATTTCCAGTGATTTGTATACGTTATTGCATTTGTGAGTACAAGTGCTTCAAATGACTTCCAATGAAAGTTTTTGGAAACTAAAGTTTTCTGTGTAAAAGTGTCAAATTTCGTATTTACAGTAACATTTAAACATAATTCCCATTAAAATTGCTCCAAATTTTTCAACAAAAATGTCCATATAGTTGGAGGTTTTACTCTTCTACATTATTCTTAAAGGAATATTTTGGATCTTCTATTAGGAAATTGAAAAATTAAGAAAATTTCAAAAAATGTACTATGGACAATAGATGGCCGCTGGCAAGAGGGTAGAGGAAGACTGAAAAGCTAGCCTAGACTAAAGAAATTAAGAACTTACTAATGCAAAAAAGTCTGCCATTCTGTAGTACTACTAGTTAGTCTGCTGCCAGTTACACGAAATTGTAATAATGCAGTTCGTAATATTTTATCGGAGTTCCTCTTTTGTGTGTGATGCTTCTACCGATCACATTTATTCTCAACTACTCACAGAAAACTGTCACATATTTTTAAGATATGGTTATTAGAGAGGCTGGAATTTGAACCTGATTCTTTACAATACATATCACAATACAAATCTTTAATTAACCTGGAGCAGTGCACTCTGCTACAGAATCCTACTGGAAATTGTAACATCTTTCAAGTTGTGTAAGCTGTTCAGAGAACTCTTAAACCTAAATCACCTTCACGGAATCAGAAAAAACTGCCCTATAAAAATAGACTCAAAACCTAAAGGCACTTGCTGATCATTAGAAGACCTTTGTTGCTACTGGTAAAATGTCTACTCTGTGTATTCAGTAGAGGCAAACTCTTTAAGTTTTGCATCTCAACTGAGGTCCTTTATTGCATTTGAAGGTCAGAGCACCAAAACAATTATTTCCACAAGCACTTTAGTACAATAAAGATGCTCGAAAACATGATTCATTAAAATCAGCTACAAAGTATGGTTTTGCACATTGCTGTTCAAATTTATCTTTAAAAGCAAATTTCAAAAGTCTGGATTACGTGTGGTCATTACATTTAATAAGCCTCTCTCTGTCTTATCCATTAGTCTACTTTGCCTTGAATTTATTAGAATGTTTGGTCTGCATGAAGCCAAAGATTAAAAAAAAAGGTTGTTTTTTATGCATGCATTATTGGTGCTTGAGATGTGTATTTCCAGAATATTAATTTGTAGTTGCTGTCTTGAGGAAACTTTTGATTTACCATTTTTGTAACTCAGACTTTGGTTGATTTTATTCTTGATTGACACGAATCTTTGTTATTATTTTTGCTGGTATGTTGTCCTGACAAAACACACAATGTCATGTGTTAGAGATTGGGGTTCAACAAGAAAGTAAAGTTGAACTTCTGAAGTTGATAATGTTGTATTTGGCAGGGAATGGATGCCACCGTCCTTCAACATTTGCAGCATTTGCAGCAAATTCTACTGAAACAACAAGATCCTGGGGGGCATCCAGAAACAGATCAGGTATTGCAGAGTTTGCCACTATTAGAAAATATTTAAGAAAATCAATCCTTTTTCTTACTAAGCTTAATTTTGTTTAAAGTTGAAATGCATAATTTTAAAGGGAAGGTATGAACTAGTTTGTTTTCATTTTTTCCCCTTATATTTTGGATGTTACTACATTTTAATATTTATTTCATTGTTGTATATATTAAAAAGTGGCAACAAAATCTGTATTTAAAACTCTTAAGGTGTTTAGTTAACATTTACTAGTAATAAATACTAGTCTGTCAATTTATTTTGGACCCAGACTGTGATTTAATAATTATTTTCTTACAATAAAATTACATTATTTGGTAAGGATTAATTGGGCACTTTTTTGTGTTAGATTTAATTATTTTACAAATGTAACCCTTGGTGATAAATTCTTAAATTGTTACTAAATGCTTGCTTAGTTAGATCTGCATGGTTTGAAGAACCTTGCAGAAGATAACAAAATTGAAGTTAATCAAAATTTTTGTATAATGTAAGAAAAAAATGTTCACTCTAATAACACTGGTGTGTATAAATATTCACTTAAATTCATCTTCAATATCCTGTAAAGAGTGATCATTCAGGCATTTAAAAATATTTTTGTTACAGAGCGTTTTTCAAATTGGTTCTTTAATAATTATTTCCATTAATTCTTAATTAAACTATTAAACAAGTATCATTAGAATATGAAGAAGTGAAATTAAACTTGTATATAGTTTAAGAATTTTATGTATAAAAATACAGTTGTATAAAAAAATAAATGTTGGAAATTTTGACAAAATTAAAGCATTAACTTGTGAATGTAATTAAAATTTTTGGATATGTGCGTTACAATTACTGTGTGAGGAATGGACATTGGTTAATTTTTTTTCTGATATCATCCTGAAGCATTCTAGTCTTTTGGCCCAAAGTTAAAAGGAGTTCACTATATAGAAAGACCATTATGTGTTCAGAAGATCCTGTTGAGAAAGGAGGAAATCAATGTAAATCGATCAAATGTAGTAGATTTCAACATCAAGAACCCTATTTGTGATATCAAAGTGAATCGGTGAATAAATGAAGCACATCACATATTTTAGACTACTTAAATCTCTGGACTAGTTCTGCTGGTGATCAGTTTGGACAAAATAAATATTTATTTGGATTGTTGCTCTTCGATCATAGAAAAGCCTCTCACTCTTCTCATAGTTTAAGATTCAAGACTATACAGTGCGATTACTTACAACTAATCCATTTTTATTATCCAATACGATACTTTTTATGATGTATAAACTCAATTTTGATTTATAATGTTGACACTTCGGCGTTTGCAGGACACACATTATTAACATTAACAAATACATAACAAGTATCCATACAACAAATATTAACATCTTATTAATATTCTTTTCAGTGTACCTGTGTTTATGTATGACCAATTCATGAGGATAAGTCATTTCTTCAGTTCTCAAACTTCTTCAGTTACAAATCTAAATTCTCTTATTAGGTGTCTATCAAGGCATGAAATATCCAGAAAGAAGAATGACTTGCTTGTGAAATGTTGCCTTGGGAATTAAATTTTTGACATTTTGAGAAATTAGTGAATGTGTAGAATAAAAAATGTAGAAGTTCTCTAAGGCGTCATTGTAGATTGTTAAATAGGAATTTCAAGTTGCATCCACCAGAGAGAAGTAAAGCTTTATGGTTTAGGTATGAGTTTTGTTAATAGGTTTCTAAATGATTAGTAGTTTAAAAGTAGATAATTAAAAGTTTACTGTTTCAGTTATTGATTACAAGTTTTGTATATCTTATTAGAGGATGATATTGTACAAAGTAGAGGATTAACATAGATTGTACTTTTGATAGTATAGCCAAAAATTGTTTACTTGATGCGGAAAAGCCTTGAAAGCTCATTAGAATATCTGTGATGTTAATTTTTTTTTTTATTTATTTGTTTCTAACAAAAGATTTTAAATTTTATAGTTTTTTTATTTGTCCAACTTCTATAAACAATGCCCAATAATGTGGGTTGGACTACGTCCTGATGGGGGTATATGAGAGGGTCTCTCATGTTTTCTTTCATCAGTTGCGTTTCTATTCTTGTATCGGTTCTTTCGTTCCTTTTGTTTCTTTTCTTGACTTTGGTTGAAGGGTCGATTCGACTCCTAGTTCATTTCTGGCATTCCATTACAACTACAGCTCCTTTCAGTAGGAATTCTTTTTCTGTTTGGGTGAGGATTTGGCATAGGCAGCAAGTAGCTGTCTCAAGTAGATGTCAGCTTCTTCCAGATGAGCAGTTGGGATCTAGCCCATTCCTGATTAGTCATCTGTGAGTATATCTTTGTCCGGACTCCAGGCTGAGAAGAGAGATGTCATGCTATTTCCACGTAAAGTGCTGCAAGGAAGAATCCATGACACTTCCTACTCTATCTGTGTGGCATCTGAGCACTCATATGGAATATTTCTTTGTTGGGCTGTGCTATGGGTGGGCACTTTGGCGATAAATTGAAAAATCCACTCCATGGATAACAAAATCTCTTCGCCTTTTTTTCAAAGAGATTTTGCTTACAATCTGATGTACAATACTTCCTTCCAGAAGAAGCTGACATCAACAAAACCACAATTTGTATTAATGATTTGTATTGAAGGAGATACTGTGAAGAATGTAAGTACATCAAGCTAGCAAGAGAAAATGACAAGTTCTAGGTGGTGGTTTGCCAGAGAAAATAGTTTTGGTTAAATGAAGTGACCCATGAACACAATGTAATACAAACATGATATGAAAACTTTCTCTGTATCTGAAGATGTGACAGGTACACAGGATTTAGTGGAGGGTGAACTGGGGTACTTACTCCTAGATCTTGACATGCGGATACTAACATTTTAACTTTCCTCCTTTTCAAAAAATCTTGAATCATAAGTTTCCTTCCCAAAGTAAAATTGAACTACCACATTCAAAACTTGTTGATTTGCCCTGGAGTTTTGGGATCAACCTGCAACAAACAAAAAGAAACTAAAAGCTGTCAAATTATCTAAAGCACAGAACCTTTTCTGTTTTGTTGCCATTTTCAAACACAATCTGATACACACATCTCCACACATAGACTGGAAGAAAAGAAATTTGCACAGGTTTCTGCCCTAAAATATGCTCATTCAGAACAGGTCTCTTACACCTGCAACTAGAGATCAAGATATTTCCTTTACAATGGCTACACACTCGAGCAGCAGACTGGACTATTCCGCAGCTGCAGCCCATGAGTGTGCTATGAACACCTTTCAGCTAGCGTGGAAGAAATCTATACATAAACATGAAAGTTCACTCTCCTCTAATTCAATCTTAATGGTTTCTGTGCACATTTCGAGATACTGAAGTTCGTATACTCTTGTTACAAACAATTAGTTACACGTGTAGATAATTCATGTTCCTTCCTAGAATTACCTTTCCATGAATTTTGCCCATAAAAGTTCAACGATGATTGAGTTTGTGTTCATTGTATCGCTATATTTGTTATATGATTACTTGTTTTCCAGGGAGCATTACAGACTCCACCAATCTTCAAACCATGTACATGCTGGTAAAGATTTCTTCCTTTTCATAAATGATTTGATCTGCCTCTGCACTTATTGAAAAATTGTGACATCGATTTAATAACATTCACCGCTGATGATTTCTCCAATTCTGTATACACTGACAATGTGTGGTCAACAGGCCGTCCGCGACATCCCTCTATACCTTGCAAATAGCAACTGCACAATGGCAGAGACTAAATAGGTTCCCCACCATGTTGATTGAACTCAAAATATTGTGTACTCACAGCCAGAGTTAGAAGGGTGAACACGAAAGCAATTCCCCTTTGAGAGTCTATCACCCCATTTACAGTTTCATGGCTAAAATAGTATCAAATTAAGGGAACACTCCCTTTGTGGACTGTCCCAGAGTTGTTGTAGGTAGGTAACTCTATACTTACCCAGAGAGAGAAGTTGAACTGGCATCACTCTATGAGAATATTTCTAGCTCTGCACCGTGAAATCCAATCGTTCTCTACACTGAGATATATGGAGAGCTATTTATTGGACATCTTGAGCAACTCAAGAATTTCAAGGCCCTTTTTTCAGTGGAGGAATTGGCTACTGCCCTCACATTCTCCCAAGATCCTGCTTCTAGCCCTGACTATATCCTGATCTAGTCAGGACCAGAAGCACAACCAAATGCTGAAACATCTCCCAAAAACACAATATATCATTCTGTGCCTTTTCAATCGAATTATCAAGCACTTTTCCCAAGCCTTTCATGCTAATCCTTAAAGAACATAAGGATTGAACAATCCTATCCAATGAGTTTGATTTCATTAACTATGATAATTAATTTTGTTAAGGAATCTAAACAGCTTTTGCACAAGTTGGGGTCTCTCTCTCTTCATGACTTTCACTCATTGGTTTGACATTGATCTTTGTGATCACAGTGGCAGTCATTTGAAGAGCATTTTATTGATCAATTTTGGCAGTGTTTTAGCTTATCTAAATCTGCCCCTAATGATTAATAATGGAGATAGCATTTTGCACATTATTTGTTGTTCCGTAAAATAGATCAGAAAAAGTAATTTGTACATGTTGAATTTATTTAAGCTCACTTTCATATTAATGAAGGGGATCTGAATAGAGAAATCCCTTGAATATTGATTCAGTAGTGGCACATACCTCGTGTCATATTTTCATGAAATTAAACAAATGTTAAATATATTGTGTTTTGTTGGATCATTTACTTCACAATGTTGATGTTTCCAGGTAAAATTCGATAAAAAACTTCTTGATTTCGATTATGGGTCTGAAGATGATGATGACAATGCACCTTCGCCTCAGCAGCAACCTCAAACTCCTCAGGCACAACATGCAGCAGCACAGCAAGCAACAGGACTCGAAAGGTTATGACGATGATGATGATGATTATTATTATTATTATTATTATTATTATTATTATTATTATTATTATTATTATTATTATTATTGTTATTGTTATTACCACCTTTCTGTTTTCACTTTGACCCCTTGCGCCCCACCCTCCCTAATGTCGTGCCCAGGGATGGATCCAGCTGATCATAGTGGGGGACCATCATATATTTTTGTTAAATATTACGCATATTTGTTATTATATTGTATACACTCACGGTACTAATGACCATAGCAGTCAACGCACTCAGAATCACTAACAGTTGATCCCATCCTTCCCTCCTCTCGCTCCCCTTCCCCGCCTGCTCCCCTTTTCTTCCTGCTTCCTTTTCCTCTCCTATTATTTTGTATTTCTTACGAAAATTGATTATCAATTGAATAATTATTGCTGTGCTATTTGATTTACAGCATACTTTCTAACCCTGAGGTAATGCGTCAACTTCAGACACTTCAACAACAAATGTCACAACAGCAAATGAAACAAGAGATGGAAGAGAAATTGAGAAAGTTGCAGGAAATGAAGCAGCAAGAGGAAGAATTTGACAAACATTTGGCTCAGACTGTGCCTGTGAGTGTAACATTGAATTGTGTATGTATCGCTTAGTCTATCGCTGTGTTGAATTTGGGTAATTTAAAGAAAAGTCTGTTAATTAGAACATTATACCCCGATTGAACTATGTTCTATACATCAGTTGGCAGTTGTTAAATTGTCCAGTCGTGCATACTTATGCCTTAATACTTGATAAACTAGAAAATACATCATAGAGTGGCTGACCCTATGGTTTCAGTTAAATACAGATAAACAAAAAGACATCAATATAGAAATAAGATTGAATACAAACAACGCACCACCATCAGGCTCCTCATGTTTTTGCTGCAAAAAACTAATACTGAATACGTTATCAATTCATGAGCGCCCCGCTTGATAGCCACTCTGTTCCTCGACATCAATTAGGTATCCTTCCAGTCAGGTTTTTAATATTTTCCCATACACTCAGGCAATGTTGCTAAGGAAGTTATGCCTCTATAATTTGCACACTTGTTTTCTATCACCTCTCTTGTTGATGTTAGAGATATACCCTTTCCTCAAGTCCTTGGGTAATTCTTCCCCCATTAAACATCTATTGTACAACCACAGCCACAAGTTGCTTAATGTCACTGTGTGTCATAAGCCTTCTTTAAGTCCATGAAAGTGAAATGAACTGTTGTTTCTCATTATTTCTATTTTTCTATAACGTTCCTTAATGTAAATATACCATCAATGCCTGATCTTCCAGCTCTGAATCCATGCTGCTCGTCTGATACTTGACTTGCCTTTCAATTCTTTCCTTTAGTACTCTACCGTATAATCTGGCTACTGAGCACACTTTTAACTCTTATGTACTGATAACACGGATAGCACTGATAACGGCTCCTCTCTGAGCCACAAGATGGCATGTTGATTACTGTTCCTGTAATAGTGTTGTGAACTAAAAAAGTTTTGCATCTTTGTTCCTCTGTTTTGCAGGTAATGTCAGACATAAGAGAAAAATCTTCTCAAAATTGGAAACTTCTTGTACTTTTTTTTCACCTTGCGTTTCCCTTGATGCAATGCCAGTTTTTAAAGGTTGCCTCTACCCATTCAAAAATAATGCTCTAAATTGCCCAGCAAATTCACAAGGATACTGAGAATATTTATTTATCTATCAAACAGGCAATTGCCCAATATACATTACATTCAGTATTTACTTAATATAAGTTGATTGTATTCGCATACATATTTTTTCCTTGCTAAATCTGAACAATTTGATAGTGATGTAAAAAATATATCCATATCACATGTGTTTACTAGTCTACTCATACGCCATATAGGTGCATTGTTCCAGATTTGATCTCGCAATTGGTATATAAAAAGTTTTATCGTTATTTCTTGTATATTGCATTGGTACATTAAAATTCAGTTTGGATAACAGTGCAGTACAATCAATATCATTGTTTATCAACATATGCAGAAATATAAAATCATTGAATTTTCTATGAGAATCTAGTGAGCTAATGTTCAATAAGCTCGCAACATGAAAATAATTATATGTGAACCTCGGTGATGGAAGTTGAAGTTTCCAAGCAATATAGTTAAAGAACGCTAGTTGAGTTGATTAAAATTTTTCTTGACAAATGTCAATAAATGAGGCGAACCGAACTGGAGAAGCGTATAATAAAATTGGTCTCGCTAACGAAAAAATATAGTCTTTAAAATGGAAGGATTTTTTGATTCACTGGTCATTCTCATAACAAATCCAAGTAGTTGATTGGCTTTATTAACGACATAATTAATATGTTTAACAAATTTAAAAATTGGATCAAAAATAACTCCAAGTTCGTTATATTCATATAGAGACTCGAGAATATGATTTTCAAGAGAATAACGATACACTATTTGCGACCTACACCTGGAAAACCTCACTATTTTACATTTATCGATATTCAAGTATATTTTATTGAAATTACACCATATCATAAGTGAGTTCAAACATTCTTGAAGCTCACAAGAGTCTTTCAATGATTTTATTTCTCTGTAAATTTTAAAATCATCGGCAAAAAGTAAGAAATTACAGTTGGGCAAAGTAAACTTAAAAGTCGTTTATAAATATCAAAAATAGAAGAGGCCCAAGGTGCGATCCTTGAGGAACACCAGAAGTTACATTTATGTCTCTCGAAACGTAGGTTTTATATTTGACATTTTGAATTCTGTTGGTAAGATAGTTTTTCAACCAATCCAAAAATACCCCATGAATACGAATATAATTTAATTTCACCAATAGTATATCAATATTAACTTTGTCAAATGCTTTAGCGAAGTCTGTAAAAAATGGTATCAACTTGTGAATAGTTTTCAATTTTGTCGATTATATCATGTTTAACACTAAAAGATTAGATGTTGTTGAACGCTTACTTCTAAATCCATGTTGTTCGTCTACCAAGATTGCATTTACAATTGTCGAAAGTTCCGTTGTTATAATTGATTCGAATAACTTCGGAATTACACTCATTATTGATATCGGTATATAATTTTTTATATTTCAATGGTCTTTGCATTTATGAATTGGAGTAATAAAACTTTTTTTTCCAAATATAAATAATGATTTAGAGTTTTTGAAATTCCCCAATCTAATCATTTTAATTTCAGTGGTATAGATATTTGCAATTTCTGTTAATATAGAGATAATGGCTTGTTTATCATCATTCAGTTGTGTTGTCATTGATTTCATCGATATCATGTATAATGATATATCTTGAGCGCTGTTTTCTATCAACAAATTCAGAGTAAAGTTTCTCAAATTGCGTATTGTCAATATGCTGCTTGCTGTTGAATAATTAGAATTAGAATTGTTTAAGTTTGTTGATTTGTGCCACAATATCTATGTTGGATTTCTGCAGTCCCTTAACAATCTCTTTCAAATTCAACAATGTAGATCTAATATCATTCTGTTCATCAAAAATATCTATACAAGACGTACAAAAATATTTCATTTGTCTCTTGGTTTTCTCTAGAGCAAATACCTTTTATTTCCGAAGCCGAGAGATCAGTACAATCGGGACGAAGTCTAGACCTACGTCTATCACATTCAATAAAATCAGCCTCACCAGTCTTGTTCTGAATATTAATAACATTGCCACACTTCTGTGAGGCAATAAAGATTTAAAAAGGATAATATAAAATTAAATTTAACGGCAGTCAACCTGACAACGCACCAAAACAAAAATACGTCCGATTCCAACTGCGGCTAAATACGATACGAATTTGTAGAAATGATGTTTCACGGGCATCGTTTTCTTGCTAAGCTTACACTAATTTGTTAGAATTTTAACAATTAGTGAGAGTTGTTGATAACTGTTACTGTTGCACTATAACATTCACTGGAACACAGAACGTAGGTACGAGGCGAGGCGCAGCGCTGTGCGCGTAGGTCTGTACTGTGCAACTGCTCACAGTGCAATGATGATGTATATGTGAATATGTGAATGCTGACTAGGTTTAATCTGCGATTATAAGACTGTGTTTTTCAAATGAGATATTTAGGAAAAATCCTAGTTTTATATTCGGATAAATACAGTACATAACATGAGATAGTGAAGGGAATAAAGAAAAATAAAGGTGGCATTTGGAAGTAATTATAAATAGAAACTCCTTGCATGAAAATACAAATGAGAAAAAATATAATAAATGCAAGAAACATAGCATAACCATAGAAATATCAGAAGACAAGATTTATTTGAGGGTCTGGTTCAGGCTGTACTCCAGTAAAATATGGGAATAAGGCTATACGATTCAAATTACTGATATTTGTCCTAGAAGTAGTATCCTCATTGCAGAACATAAGCATCTACCACAGCTACAACCACAGTTGCCAGGTAGTAGAAACTTTGAGCAACTTGGTTCACCCGATATCATTACTTAGTACTCATTTTTAAACACTCTGTCTCCAATGTGGGTTGTCAGTTGCATTATAAAGGAGAAAACATTCTCTGATTCTGCAATATAGTTTTGGAGGTCATTTGAGGATTTAGCTATTTTTTGTCAAACTCTTTTCAATGAAATTTTCTTTTTGCTCTTTAAACAATGACCTTGTAAGGTTGTGGTAGAGTTGAAGATTATATATTTGTGAAAGTCATGATGTTTAATGACTATGTAAAATTTTGTATATTAAGATCTGGGTTGTCCAGGTGACAATGTGTCAAAGGCTGATTTGCTGACGTTTCAACCAACAACCGCATTACAGCGTGAGATAGTGCTACTGCACAACTGGACAACAGCCTTGAAGAAAGCCTCGATATGTTGGACAAAACCTCGGCACATCAGTCTTCAGGGCAGTGTCATCTGGACAATTCAGACTATGACTGGCCGCAGTTGCCTATGTGCTGCGTCGGGTGTGAGTAACACACAGACATGGAATTGTTTTGTACAGATTTATTCACAAGTATTTGTACACTATATACACTCCTCGGAAACTAGTACTGCAATCCCAGCACTGCACATCTCAGGTCTCCTCACCCCAGTCTGTCGCAGACCCCCGTGGCTTGGTGCCGCTCCTGGTCTCTCAACCGCCACACCTCGCAGCCGAAGCTCGCGATAACTCCTTGCAGGTGAAAAAGTGCCTTCCGCACGGCAATTCCGTTAGACAATGAATGACCATGGCTGGTTACTCTCCAGCCGCCTCGCGAGGGGTCATGTGACAGACTGCCCATGCCGGCGGCTTCCTCTCATCCCGAAACATGGGCCTGTTTGCAATTTTGGAGTCCAGCTGCACCGCGGCTGGACTCTCCCATCATCTTCCTCTGCGCCAGTTGACTCCCGCGTTCTGATACACGCCCACCCCGGCCCTTGAGGAGGACCCGTCTCTGGTGGCCTTCTGCTTGCCGCCAAAGGACTGCCCCTGCTCCCTCGCTGGCCTTCTGACGTGTGGTCCATCTGGCCCATTGGCACGACGTTACACCTACATCATCATTTAATTTTCTATATTTCGACAAAGTGAATGATCATTCATATGTAATTAAAAATAGCTAGTAATAGAAGCTCCAGTCATTCCTTAGTTGTATAATCCAGAGGATTTTTACGTTTGACTTCGTCAGATCTGTGGAAAAATCTTGTTTTTAGTACAAAAAAGACCAGATCATATTCAAATGGTGGGTATATATAAATTTTGTAGGTTTATGTAAATAATTACAGATTTATGGTCTATGTTATTTTTAAAATTTGAAAGCTAATTTGGAAGAGAGTGCATCGAGAAATACCAGAGGGGTGGCCATTTGATTTAAAATTATTAACAATAGTTGTTTCAGTCTTGGAACTGGATGTTATTTCCAATAACGATGTGAGGATTTTTTCTCTTTATGTTGTACTACACGTTTTGTGAAGTTCAATGAATTCTATATTGCTCATCATTCCACAAATTCATTTAAATCATTTTGTAAATTGGAGATAAACAGATTACCAAAAAATTTTAGTGTCATCAGCATGAATATTATCAGTCAGAGGCAGTAGTAGTTCACTCTCTTGTTCCAATTCCTCTGCTCATTCAAATATTTATTTTTCTGTAAACTTTCCTCGAGTGAGTTCATCAATTAAAAACAATTTAAAATTTCAAAACCAAATACGTTTAAAAAACTATTATTGCTTTCGCTATCTCTTACAAACCTATTTTATGCCATCATCAGTTAAGGTTAATATATTTATTCTTGGGTTCTGTATTGTAATATTTAATTTTTCAGGGAGCTTTTCCTAGAGGATGGAGTAAATAGTTACATTTCCTTGCATGTTGAGCATGAAAACATGTTTTTAGTGTGTGTGTGAGAGTGTGAGACTGAGAGTGAGTGTGAGACTGAGAGTGAGTGTGAGACTGAGAGTGAGTGTGAGACTGA